TTCAGTACCATCAGACACAAACATACTGCTGCCTTTGTGATTGTGTTTCCATTTGGCACTGAATATAAGATTTGTCTGTCTGTAAAAGATGCTTGCTTGAGGGCAAATAAAACCAGGCGTTTGTTGGTGTTCAAAGGCACAGCTCTTAATTAAATGTTTGATGTTTTTCTGCGCTCTGAGGAAAGCCAACGTTTGCAGGATTCAGCCTTCGACACCTACGCTTCAACCAGTTAGTTTAGCTCTAACAGCATGACAGACAATGCTGCAAATGGAGGGATACTTTAAAAAATAATGGAGCTACCTGTTGGCTAGGTATAACTAATAAGAAATGCATGTGTTGAAACTCTAGTACTGCCTTTTTAATGCAGAAATATGAATTTTGCTTGAAGTGCAAGCAGTGTTTTTAAATTCTTACTATTTATCTTAATCTTCCTGCTCTTACATACTTCTTGTACTTTCAGTGCCTCACTTTAGTGCAGTGAAATGACTGACCATGCAAACATTGAGCAGTGCCAAGAGGAAATGCAGCAGAAAAAAATCTTGCCCAGACAGTTTAAATTTAACCTCAAAAGACTTTCTCATTATTTCAGTAACCGAAGAGCGACAGTTTTCATCATACACAAAGGTTATTTACGCCTCTTCTCGGTCATTTCCAGTAAAAAAAAAGTAAGGATTATAAGTTGTATGTGATTGTTAACTATTACTACACTGGAGTTCCACATTGCGCAGCAGGGAGTGGTTAGTCTGCTCTCATGCTGTGATATAATACAAAGCCAGACAGAAAAGAGCAGGGCTCCAGCTGTGTGACCAAAAACCTCCAATTACTGTATCACAGGGAACTGGCAGATGTAGGAAATAATTCAGTATGAACTGGACCCTGGGGGCATTAAGATGAAAACCAAATACTGACTCACAAACCTGATACCGAGTGTTAACTTTTGGAAAGCTGACATTCAAACCCACAACCTGTTACAGAGCAAAAGAAGATGACTTGGCATAATGATGTGTGTCCCATGTCTCTCTTCTGTAGTTGTGAAGCCGAGTGGACATCACCTGAAACTGGCTCTGAAGATGCAAAACTTTGCTAAAGTCATGTTCAAACCAATGAGGTGAGGACTGAGTCCACATTTTGTGCGTCCATGGTTTTAAGCTTTTTAATGTCAGTGCACAAAAGGTGAAGTGTATCAAGCAGGAACAATGACAAGTGTGTAAGATCAAGGAGAATCTACCCAAATTTGGGTAGGTATAATTTTCATTTTTTGTATACAATACCAGGTTGTAGCTACCATGATGTCACATGTTAGAGGAAACGGTTTTGAAGCCTTGAGTTCAGCTTTTTTGATGTTTCTATGTTTATTTTGGGCCAACATTTTCTATGTTTAAAGGGGTTGGCAAGCACTACAATTCAAAGCTATACACACTATGTCATGGCTTATTTATTAGCTGTATACTTAGATATTTATTTAAAATTGAATGTGGTTCTGTCCGTGGTGTTTGCTTCACAACATGATTTGATATTAAAACAAAACCAGTCTTCTTATCACCATGAACAGCTAAAGAAAGTCCTGACTCCGATGACCAGGCTGCCACAAATATAACTCAATGTGAGAAACACTGAATAAGCTAATAAGCAACCTGTGGTGGAGCAGATATCGATATCTACTAATAAGTGCGAGGGTGTTGATATCATGTCACTAAAGTGTCTGTGGACCAGAGTTCTCAAGCAGTCTGTTTGTACAATAAACAGAAGAGAAATATAATTTTATAGGCTATTTAATTTCATTTAAAAAAAACACGTACTGACATTGTGTTATTTTTGTGTCAAATTAACATGCAGTCTAGCATTAAGTCTTAATATAAGTTAAATGGGTTTTTTTATAGTTCTTAATATAAAAAAAACATCCCATTAATTTGTCATGAATTGAGAAATAAGCCGTAGATGCTCACCTTTTTGAACTAGACTTTAAACGTGTTTAGATCGACTTTAAAGCGGGTCATTTGGATTTCTGAAATAACTGAGAGGGACTCACTTCTGGAGCCAGCCCTAGTGGCCATTTGAGAAATTACAGTACGTGTCATTTCTGTGTTGACTGCATTTTTCAGCACAATTTAGCTAAATCATCAAGTTTCTCTCTAGTATCTGTTTAAATGATGGTATCTGCTGTGTTGATTACACACTACAGACTATTGTTACTGACAGTGTGATCACTGTGTTTGTCTTAACCACGTGTGTGTGTGTGTGCTTGTGTGTGTGTGTGTGTGTGTGTGTGTGTGTGTGTGTGTTGTGTGTGTCAGGCAGCAGAGGGACGAAGAAACGCCAGAGGACTTCTTCTACTTCGTGGATTTCCAGAGACACAATGCTGAGATTGCTGCCTTCCACCTGGACAGGTGGGTGCACATGTCATGCTACTTTTCAGCTGTTTTACTGATTATCCGATCATCTCAGTGTCACTCTGAGTATTAATGTTAGCTGTGATGTTGAGTTATTTTGTACATCTCTCATCAAAGGTGCTTCCTGTTTTGGTCCTGGTGCATACCGAAGTGCAACACATGTTTCCTTACGTGATGTAATCGCATTAAGAAACATCTGCTGCCATGTTATCTCTGAATGTAATCTGAACCGAACAGCGAAAAGAAAACAAGCCAGAAAAAAAGGAATTTGAAAATTCCTGAAAATGTCCCGAGAAATTTGGGGGTGAGCTGCATGTGTGAAAACAAATTGCTGATTTTGAGAACATGCATGTAAAGAAGCTGCTTCAGAGTCTTTTCTCCTCATCTGTATGATGTGTGACACTTGTTTTTTGATATTGGGAATATGTCCAATAATCTATTGCATTTATAAAAAGGCAACAACTGTGATCATAGTCACATGAAAAGGGAGGATATCTGATGCTCACAGTGAAGGTAGACTCAGTGAAAGTGCTCTTGAAGATTAACAGTTCAACTTAAAGGAGGAAAGTCACCAGGCTATCTTCAGGCACATTTGGTTAGAGACAAGGATTAAGTTGAACTTAATCCTTGTCTCTCCCTCTTAATGAGTTTGCCTGAAGATACCCTGGTGGCTTTTTTTTACGTCATGTGCTGCCTCCTAAGAACCCAACCCCCCCTCCGTCAAACCGCTTAATTCTCCTTCTGTGATGTGTACAGGCAACTCAGGAAGATTTTAGGGGCAGCCTGCTCTGAAATGTTCTAGATATATTTTTTTTCCAACTCTTTTTATTTACTTTTTTCAATAAAGTGACAAACATTTGTAAATTACAATGAAACAGTTCTGAAGTAGTTTGTCAACAAACCCATTCCCCTCCCCTCCCCTCCTACCACCCACCCACCCAGCTCAGGTCAGAACCAACCAGGGACATATGACACACACATACATTCACTCAGACAGCACATTAGACACAACAGCAGACAGACTTTTTCTAGATATGTTCAATAGTGAATGTGTGTAAAAATACTTCTGATTACTGATGTTATCAAGTTATCATAAAAAGCATTGTAAAAAAAAACAAAAAAAACAATCAGAGTTAGTTGAATGGCTCTATAGGGGTTGTCTGTGGATTCACTATTTTGGTGGGCAGGACACTAAAATATCTCAACATTTACTGGATGGATCATTGGATGAAATTTTGCTCAGCAAGCTGATGCTAGCATTAATCTCACAGCGCTAAATCTAAGCACACACTCAAAAGGTCAATACCATGTTGATCAACTCTTTTTTTTAAAGAGCCCCTGGTGGGCTTTGTGGGTACTGCAGGTGGGCCACAAAAAGCCCTCCAACAATTTTAAATATCACAATAATGATTATTTACCATGAGTCAACCCTTTAAGTGATTAGTAAGGCGTGTCATGACTATTCATGGACATAATGTTTAGTAAACTTTCGTGTCTATCTTGCCCATAATATCATTTTGTCATGTCCCATAATTTTACCCTAACTGAAAGTTACAGATGTAGTCATACATTTTCTTATAATGGGCCCTGGAGTAATTTTGTATTTCAAAGTGGGACGCGGCAGTCTTAAGTTTGGGAAAGGCTGTTGTAGGGTATACCATTCTTAAAGCTACTAAAAGAAACCTTCAGTTTGTGTCAACTCTGGAGATTCCTGTGGACTAAATGGTCTTATCTCTTTGCTGAGTGTGCCCTGTAGTGTTTCCTGAACATGTAAAAGAAACATTAATGTAATAAATCAGGGAAATATGTAAAATAGGCGTGTCAAGTCTCTGTGATGTTGATGTACCCCAGCAGCAGTGACAGACATAAAAAATAACTGTTATGAAAAAATCCCCCTTATCCCTATACCTGTCGGATATGTTGATCTTATAAAGAAGCATCAGTATTAACTCCTGTCTCATTCATATCTCACAGTAGCTTCGAGTTAAGGGGAACTTTTGTGTATGACATGATAGGACATACTGCAAGATTTAGGGCCGGGGGCTTTTTCTTTGTGCAATAAATGCAATCAATTTACTGGAAACTCAGATTGGTAAAAATGTGTCAAATGTGTCTGTGTTTAGTTATCATGTTTATTTTTTTAATAGTATGAATATATGAAAAGTGGTAATCAGAGGTGTAGTCCTAGTAACTTTTTTTTTTTTTTTTTTTTTTTTACATCTAAAGCTTGAACTGAAATGAAACAAAGATGAATAGAGGGTGTGATACAAGTTATACGAGACATTCTAACTGACTGTTTTCCAAAATGGAGCAATGCTGCAGCTTATCCAGAAAGTCTTTAATAGTCTCTTAGAAATAGCTCTAAATCAAAAGTAACTCACCCTCTGACAACATATAACCAGCCAGCCCACACATAGATTGCAACATGTCACCCAGCCCATTATTTCCACACCAGCCGATCAGCACAAACCCACAGACCTCGAACAATCACAGGAACACACACGTCTTTTTTTCAAATCACACATAAGCCAAACTGAGGTGATTCACGATGAAACACAGTCATCTGAACTAGACTGTATCATTAAAGAAGCCACACACGATACATCATCATTTCACAGCACAAGAAAAAAAATGCAATGTCAACAACTCAAACAATCACTGTAATTCGAAAAAAGTTATTTGACTGAAAAATCTGCTTTGGCAATATGTTGACCTTCAAAAAGGTAAAAACAGTTTCTATCACTCAACACACAAACAGCAAAACTAGATTGTTGCTCTGCTCTCTCCTATTTTTAATTCATGGTGGTGTGTTTTTAATCTGTGGCGGTGTGTTGTCTGCCTCTGTTGTGTCTGTGGTGGCTGCCAGAAGCTCTCATTATCATGGCCAGTAATCAGCAGTTGGGGAATGCCGAGGATTGGAGAAACCGCCATTCAGCCACTGATTGCTGTTTGATTGCTGTTTGCGAGTCATGCCTGGAATATGGCCCTCAGGGAGACATAAGCTCTCTAGATAGTGTATCGAAAACAGCCTGCTACATTATCCAGCGTTTAGACTGACAATATGTTTCTATGGATAAGAATCAGTCAAAACAATTAGCTCCTGTTTAATAAGGTAAAAAAAAGACAGAGATAAGGATAACATTTACATCCGAGGATTTCTCTTAGATTTGCATTTAATTAATCTAAGAAAGTTAATTAACTTACAGAGATTCATTTATAACTGTTTTTTTGTTCAGGGTTCTGGACTTCAGGAGGGTCCCTCCTGTGTCTGGCAGGTTGGTGAATGTCACAGGAGAAGTGCTCCAAGTCACCCACAACGAAGACCTCAGAGGGGTTTTCTTCATCTCACCTGGTAATGAACGTGTGGGCTCCTCTAAATGAATACTTTACAGGTGTTAGATGCAATATTTTAAACATTATGTATCAAATATATCCAATCATACTATATCAATGAGTGATGACTTTCTAAAAAAAAAAAAAGAGCAACTTCAAACTCCCTCTGGGTTTGTTGTTCTCTGCTCTGTGTCACAGTGCCTCTTTCAGATTATAAATTGTGGTAACTAATACAAGGCTAGCTTCCACTGTTTGACCTTCTTTGCTTTTTTGTATGCTAAGCTAATCTATTGTTTCCTGGCTCTAAAGAAAGTTAAACATTTAACTGACTAAAATGATAGTTGTGGCCGATCTTATCAACTGACCTCAGGCCAATAAAGTTCAATAAGGTTTCCCAAACTGACTATTTGTAGCTAGTATTCCTTGTGTTGGATGATGGGGTCTTTCATAGCAATTGTAAACTGAAGCTGCTCCAAATGGATATTTTGCAGCACGTTTTGGTTAGCCTTTTAGCCCATTTGTCAATTACGTCTGTAGTTCAACATAAAAAGTCATTAAACACGATTAAAGCTGGTTTATCATTACAAGTCTTTGGTCTCAAATACAAATTATAAATGTTCAGCCCCTATGGTCTCCATTTTTTAAATATCCTTTGTCTATTTGATTACCTGTAACACTCCTTTAGTTCAGTGGTTCTCAACTGTTCTAGCCTCAGGAGGACCCACCGCCAACTCATTCAGGAAAAATCACGACCCGGATTTCAGATATTTGTCAACCAATCAGATTTGTTCAAAGAAAAATTATGCAGTTTGGACCTCAGAAAGTACAAAATGTGACAGAACAAGACTTTCACAGACATTTTAAAATAATATTTTTTATCCAGGCACACATTGGCGACCCATGAAAATGGCTCCGCGACTCACCCTTGGGTCCCGACCCACCAGTTGAGAAACACTGCTTTTAGTTTGAGGGAGAGGCAAAGCCCATTCAAAAAGCATGTGAAGAGGAAGCTCATTTTTTTATACCAATATTTGTCCCTCTTTTCCTAAAGCAAACAACACTTGTTTCTTCGCCAAGTGCCTGTATGTGTGCAAGACGGAGTATGCTGTGTGTGGAGGCCCGGACCTGCTGGAGGGTTCCCTGTCTGCCTACCTGCCTGGTCTCAGCATCGCCCCCCGCATCTCCATCCCCAACCCCTGGATCCGCTCGTACACCTTCAGCGGACAAGAGGAGTGAGAGCTCAATATTTGAATGTTCAGCCAATATAATATAAAGTGATATCATACTCACATGATACAAAGTCTAACAGGGGGTTCTGATTGGTTAACTGTGTGTTCCATCTCATAAATCATTAACTCTGAAATCAATCTGATTAGTATTTTACATTCTAGAAAGAAAGATTGCACATAGATTTTGAAGAATTGTATAAATTGAAATTTGTTCAAAAAGAATTTTTATTGATTTTATTGTGAAACCTTCAATAAAAATTTGTATAAATAATCTTTACATAAGGGAAGTAAACATAATATTAACAGGTTAACATAATATTGTTTTTGGCTCTCTCTGATGCTGTTGTTTGGTTATATCTCCAGAATAATAATGAGAGACTTATTTTAAAACAGTTGTCTTTAATTCTGTTAAAAAAGGGACTCTTATTCATCTTACATCAAACAGTTTTCTGTATAAAGAACTTTTTGTTGTCATTGATGTCTCTTCTTAAAGGTGGGAGGTGAATCCTTTCTTCTGTGACACCATAAAGCAAACGTATCCGTATAACTCAGGCAACAGGCTCCTCAACATCATAGACATGTCCATCTTTGACTTCCTCATAGGTACGTTCAGCTCCAACCCACACACACACACCGCAGAACTTTTATTATCTGAATTAATTCATAGAACATTTTTGGAAAATTTTTGGTTTCTACTGTGCATTACAGGAAACATGGACAGGCACCATTATGAGATTTTTACCAAATTTGGGGACGAAGGATTCCTCCTCCACTTGGACAATGCCAGAGGGTGAGACAAAGACGTCACAGAGAATTCATTTAAAGTCAATTTGTACTTTGTAGTTTCATTTCCTGCTCTTGTGTTCAGGTTTGGGAAACACTCTCAAGATGAAATGTCCATCCTGGCTCCTCTGTCTCAGTGCTGCATGTGAGTGTCAAATGATCTTTACATGTGTCTGTTTAGAATGAGGATTTTTACCCTTTTGATGGTGGCCCTGAAGGAAGCAGAAAACAAAGACAATGAGCACACAACAAAATCTGTTTTTTTTACGTGTTTTTTGAATTGCTGTGCTTTTCTAAGGTCACAAGGTTTTTTTGAGTGTGTCAAGGGCGGCGAGTTTCATGAAATGTTTTGCTTGTTAAAGGCTTGTGATTTTTCACACTTAAATATAATAGAAATCAAGTATATTATGAAAATAACTCTGAGTCATGACTGTCTACAATGGGTGTAACACCCGAGTCCCACTGTCTGTGATGTTTTCAGAGTTTTCAGAGTCCTATCTTCAGTTTGTTTACATCGCCAGGACGGCCGGCTGACTCCTCCCCTCGCGTATAAAAGTTGTTTAATTGAGGGACTAGAGAAAAGAAGAATAACATACTGTACTCACTGCTTAACTGTGTTTCTAGATCACGCTCATTTCAGGTAAATTTACATGCAGTGTGAAGATACCAGCATAATAAAGATCACTAGCATTAGCATGCTAACACAACTATGTGCTTTGTCTTTGTGCTTGTTAATGGTTGTTGTGTTGTGCGAAATTCTGTTGTGTTTCGTAAGATGTGTCTCTAATGTGTTGCTAATTTTGAGATGGTGCGTGTAAAAAGGATTTTGTGCTTTGTCAGAAAAGTTGTGTGAAGTCGTATCTGGTTTTGTGAAATGTGTTTTTTAAAATACTTTTGTTTTGTGAAAGGTTTTGTATTTCATAAAATTAGTTATTTTGAGATGTCCTTGTGATGTTGTGTTAAATGAGACCTTGTTGTTCTTTTGTCAAATGCTAAATTATAACCTTCAGGGCCACCATCCTTTAAAAAAAAAAAAAAGAAGAAGAAGAACATGTGAAATGAAAATGAGCCTCTCTTCCTCTCCCATCAGAATAAAACGCTCCACTCTAATGCGACTTCGGCTCCTGACCCAACGGGACTACAGGCTGAGCGATGTGATGAGGGAGTCCCTGGAGGGAGACCCCTTACAGCCCATCCTGACGGAGCCTCACCTCTTAGCTTTGGACCGCAGGTTACAGAAGGTCCTTCGGGCGGTGCAGCGCTGCATCCGGCGGCTGGGTGAGGACGAGGTGATCACCAGAGACTTTGTGAAATCCACAACGAGGCCTCAGAGCGTCACAGAAATGAGAGAGGTCAGGTAACAGAGGAGGGAAAAGTCGCCGCTGCTCCTCGTAGCTGATTTCTGAAAAAACTTCAGGATGAAGCTCATATGGTTTCGATTTAAGGAACAAGCCTATAAATGGAAGACGCTGTGAAATGTTCAGAGGTGCCTGTAGAGACCGAAGGAATCTCCTTGTGAATGATTTCAGGCTTTGAATTCCTATCCTAGAGGGGGGTATCGTTTTATTTCCTTTTGTTTCTCTCATGGTCACAAAATCCCCTAAGGGTGCATTTTGTGACTGGCCTCAATCTTTACATGTTCACCTGCTACATCAGGATGGTTTAGGGAAAATGAATTCAAAATAAGCCCTTTTAAAGGCTTTATATGTGATTTTCTGATCCAGCAGATGTTGCCCTTGAGCACCAGCATGAAACCAAAACAACTCGCGCTGCATTGTTGTGTTAGCATGCTAATGCTAGCAATCTTTATTATGCTCGTATCTTCACACTGCATGTAAATTTACCTGAAATGAGCGTGATCTAGAAACACAGTTAAGCAGTGAGTACAGTATGTTATTCTTCTTTTCTCTAGTCCCTCAATTAAACAACTTTTATACACGAGGGGAGGAGTCAGCCGGCCGTCCGGGCGATGTAAACAAAGTGAAGATAGGACTCTGAAAACTCTGAAAACATCACAGACAGTGGGACTCGGGTGTTACACCCATTGTAGACAGTCATGACTCACAGAGTTATTTTCAGAGAATGAACTTGATTTCTATTACATTTAAGTGTGAAAAATCACATATAAAGCCTTTAATGAACAGCTAGATACCATTTCAAAGCTGAAACATCCCTTGAGAAATTGAAACACATTCATTAGAAGGAGCTTTGAAGCACTGGATCACTTGTTTATTTAATAAATGTTTTAGACAATTGTTGCATTCATTTGTGTTTAATTAAAAAATTAAAGATTTTTATGAATTGGTATCAGTTTGAAAAGATTTTGCCACCTGCAAGAAACAGGATGGTTTGTTTGTGTGTGTGTGTGTGTGTGTGTGTGTGTGTGTGTGTGTGTGTGTGTGTGTGTGTGTGTGAGAGAGAGTGAGAGAGAAAAGTGCTACCTATTAAACACTCATTTAGTTTACTCCACCCGGTTTTCCAGACTTGTAATCCTTCTGTCTCATCTGAGTGTTTAAACAGCTTTACCACATAACTGTGAACTGAAGCAGGCCGGGACAGAGCAGCAGTTTATAGTCTGAATGTAAAATACCACTTAAATACTTCTAAACAAAGACAAAGTTCTTTTTAACAACTTGTGGATGTGTTACCTCTGTTAGCATGGCTCAGCCTTAACTTATAACTACTTTCTTTGCTCCTCTTATCAAACAAGTCTGATATGTTCCAGGTCTCCATGTAACGTAAGACAAAAAAAACACCACACAACTATTTTTACAAGGGGATGTTTGAATTTGTAAGTTTTGCCAAATAAAGTCAGACCTCCGCCTGTCGACACCGACAATGAGGCTGATAAGATCACGCAGTGTGCTTTCTCCTGCAGGTGAATGCCTTCAACCGTTTATATAGTTTATCTTGATTCAAGCCTGGCGACAAGAACAACCAGAGGAGGAAGTGAAAGAACATGCTGAACTCAGAGCGATAGAGCACAAATCATATTGGTGCTTCACAGAGAGCCAAGTACAACTGTTCATCATCAAAATGTCACTTCATGGAAAACTGACCTAAGTTGTCGAAGGTCATTAAAACCCTCCAAGAAGGAAAACAAAAAGAGATAAAGTCTGTAATAAACCAGAGAATATGAGAAGGAAGGAAATATTAAACACTAATATTTGCAGTATGTTGGCCTATGATGGACAAAGGACTTTAAAAAAACAGGTCAATGACTCTCCAACATTGCACGCACACACACGTGGTTAAGACAAACACAGTGATCACGCTGTCAGTATCTGTAGTGTGTAATCATCACAGCAGATACTAGAGAGAAAGTAGAATATTTAGCTAAATGGTGCTGAAAATGAAAGCAACACAGAAATTACACATTACACACTGCAATTTCTCAAATGGCTCCAGAAGTGAGTCACTCTCTAATTGTCCAGATATCAAAATGCCCCATTTACACACACGCACGCACGCACGCACGCACACACACACACACACACACACACACACACACACACACACACACACACACACACACACACACGTTTAAAATATATATATATAAATATATAATAAATCCTACTATTCAAAAATCTTTAGTCCTGGACCATTTATATAAAAAATATTAAACTGATTCTGGTTTTGGTGCTTAAATGAAAACCAGGTTTCATGAGGCTTTTCTACACCTAAAGCAATAATATGTCGCCCCCTGGCGGTCAAATTCTCGCAATACATGTGTTTCATTTTACAGTCTTTTCTAAAAATCTTAATGGTTCGTACGTAGGCTCGTTAGTTCCTCAGTACTCCCTTATTTGTTCCCCAATATCTATTCCAAATTGGCCATAATGTAAGCATTTTCTTGTCTTATCTGATGCAGACTCAAAGACGTGAAAACGACAAATAGAAAACTCAAAGGGGCCAATGGGCTGAATTTGAGAAATGTCAGATCACAGAGGTGAGATAAGCCTGTAAAAACATCGAACAAAACCTCTACAGCCAAGAAACGTGTTTCAAGACTTTTACTCGACCATTTCTTCCAAGTTTAAACTTCAACTGAGGACTTTTTCCTTCCACACGATGAATAAAGACTCAGAGTGACGAGAGCCACACTAAAAAAACATTCATCATGAAAAATGTGAGATTTCAACATTTTGACGATGTTTACTGTCATGAAGCACGCTGTCAGAACTGAACTATTCCGGGGACTTTTAGAGGCTACTAAGGTAAAAAAAAAAAAAAATCCTCCTTATATAATAATCCTTAATTTCCTACCTGACAAATAAACTGTTTATTGAAGTGTAAGGACAATAACACCAAAGTGTTGTTGACGTGAATCATTATCAATGTCACCTTAGATTAAATAATAATAATAATTATTATAGGCCTAGAGTTTTTATCATATAAACTGCAGTAATTGTTTAAATTGGTTTTATTTTACATGCCCCTGTTAATATTCGAACTAATGTGTTATTAGATTATTATTATTTTATTATATTTTTTGCCAAACCTCAAAATCGACCAAACTGTCAGCAGCATGGTTACATAAATTGCAACTTTTTGCCTATCCTTTATTAAATAAAACGGCCATATAACTATAACCTTTGAGGTCTGATAGAGCTGGACTACCCATGAGAACAGACACTATATCTGAATATTTTTTTTTATCTGAAATGTATTATAACACACCTTGCTACTATTTTGAAACCACTGATTGTAGGTTGGCTACTGTTTGATAATAATGACATTGAACCCAACCAGGGCCCAGAAGAAAATGAATACACATTTGCTTGACATACCTCAGGAACACGTTTCAGGTAAGTGTGCAGGTTAGAAGAGGAAGTGTGCAGACTTAAAGTGCAGGGTTCTGCAACAACTCTGCTCTGAGAAATATCTGTATACTGTATATGTGAGAGGCAGGATGTGGAGGCTGGTATGACAACATGTTGCCACAAAGTCCAAGTTGAAGCAGGAGCAGCACATCCTTGGCTAGGGCAGCAAGTGATTGCTCGTGGTGTATGGTGGAGGCTGGTGGTGGAGGCCACAACCTTTAGATGGACGTGGCTACAAGTTATTGGAAAAAGTTGCAGAGAACCTCAACAGAAGATTTCCACTTTCTGAAGGAGGTGTTAACAAACTGGGACAAGTATTCCTGCCCGTGCTTCCAACTTCTGCAGGGCACCCTCACCTTCTGCCATCTCCACCTCGTTATACCTGACAGCTCAAATTCAAAACCTAATTCTAATAAATGTAACATCTAACTCATCTAAACCTGGAGGTCTGTCTTTGCATTTATTAATTAGGCACTCGAGTTGTGAAACTTATTGTATGTCTAAAATAAAAATGCTGTTCCTACAAGTGAATGAAATGTTCTTCTAAATATAGTTCACGTATGTTGGTTCAGAAATAAACAGCTAAACAACACATTTATCACGAGGCTTTTCCTGCACTTAAAGCAGAAATGTCTCCCTCTGGTGGACAGATGTCACATTACATTTGTTTTCAGGGCCATTTTACAGTCTGTACCTCAAAGTAGTAAGGCTTTCAATAGTGAAAGTAAGATATGCGTTCACCAGGACCCTGACCTGAAACCCCCTTGTAAGATTATAGTCACATAAAACGCTGTAAAGAGAAATCAAACATAACAGGAAACAAGGTTGTAATATTTTTTACTTTTTTATTGCTTAAATTGCCATCTGGAACAATCTATACCAAAAGGATAAACATCTTTGCACATACAGGAGGTCAAACTGAATACAGGGTAGAATAGAAAAAGAATGGTCCTCTGATCGCCCGCAGCTCTCTGCACTGCAGGCCGAACAAAACTCACTGAAGATCGGGCTAGCAGGAGTGACTGACAACTACTGTTAGCCCAGGTTAGGTAAGCTAAGGCAAACCGGGACGATTGCAGTGTGGTTAAAAACAATTCTGGACTAAAATCTGACAATGTTGCTATTTACATGAAAACTTTATTTGGACAAAGGGTGAGACAAACCTTTGCCACTGAACTTCCTATGGATCAGGATAAATGGGATTTTTGGTCAATGGACATAAATCCACATGTAACCAAACCCAATAGAATATCTTCTTAAGTTAAGGAGGGGAGAGATGAAGATGATCAGTTAAAAGAAAAATATCCACTCATTTCCATTCACAAAAACTCTCACTAACCTGACTACCCTGAAATCGGCACAAAAACTCAAATCTTTTTGGACGTACAAACACGAACACCTCAATAGTGAGCTCATAAAAGGGCTCCGATTGAGACAGAACAGACAGCATGAATGCTTCTGATAACAGCTAGTGAGGCAGGAATGAAGATTTAAGCCTTTGATCCAGAAGTCAACATTTTGTGTGATTTGGTAAAAGATCTTAGAAATAATAAAAAACAAACAGAGGTAACATTTTATGCCATCTAAATAGTTGTGAAGCAGTTAAGCTAGGGAGTAGCAAACCAAATATTTAACAAATTTCCTGCAGCTGCAGGGCAAGCTTTTTTTTTTAATACACGCTTCCATTCATACCAGATCACTGGATGCCTAAAACATCATGCCAAGTAAGCATAGAGAACAGATCACAAGCTACTCTGATGAAAAGACAGCTATCTTTTCAAACAGGCAATAAGCAATGACACTAGTTTTAAAATAAATATCTGCTCACCTGTGATGCTTTCACACATAAATACTTCTCGTGTCCTGAATTCCATGAAACAATCTCTGCTCAAGACGTCACTTCAATAAACCTGTAATTAACCCCATATGATCTAGCTTAAAAACCCATGACGCTTTTTACACAATACAATTACATACTGGTTTTGTCTAGTTGACAAGAAGATTTTTTTTTTTTTTTTACTTTGTGGCACTGGACACCTAAAATAGAATTTATGGAAAAATAAGTGTTTACAAAAGACAGTTAAACATATTTTTTTTAAGATCACCATCACTCCAAACCATAAGTTCATCATTAAGTTAATAATAATAATAATATAACTATGATCATTTTAACTATACTATAATAACATTTTTGATTACAAACCATAGCAGAAGAGTGACCAAGTTATTTGGTATATACTCAAAAATTGAATACTGAAATACATTTAATACTCTTTTTTTTTTTTTTTTTTTTACTTTCTTTGTTATATTTTGTCCCTCAGAGTAGTCAAGGCAGTACTTGTATGGTTGTTCTACTGATTAAGAGGACAATAAGGGTAATAACTACGTTCTGCTTAGAGCTTCAGATAGACAGGGAAGAGAACACTCACTTGCATTTTCCACGGCTATGCATCCTTGCGATGTGACGAGAATCAACATTTGGCACTAGCCTGGTAGCTGCATAATCAAAATTAAAAGTTCTCAGAGCTTTCTGGAAATAAGCAAATCAGACTCATCAAGTGACATCATACCAGTCAAAGGAAAAATAAAAACAAAGATAGTACAGCTGAAATCTAAAAAGCTAAATTTGATGCAATCACATACTTCCTGCAGCTTCTAATTTCTGCTTAACGCTCTTTATCTAATCAAGCAAAAAGGAAACTGTAACAGGGAGAAGCAGTCCTCTTTTTACATCAATCTACAACACATCTCTGTTAAAAAAAAAAAATCCCCCAAAGCGCCATGTAAAGGTTGATTGTCCTGTCTCATCAGTCTGAGACCCTAATATCTTCCAGATCTCTGAACAATCCTGCTCTGTGTTTCAGTCTAAAAAAGAAAGCGTAACCAGCAAATACATATACAACATAGGTAACATGTGATGTAACTGTGCCTACAAGGTAGCTTACAGCAGCTGGAACAAGCGCTGGTGAATGGCTGAACGTCACCTCAGTGTGACAGGTGGTAACATTAAAACAATCTCCGTGTGGAAAACTGAGAAAAAAAGAAAAAAAAACAGGGAGAAAAGCAAACAGAAAGAAGAAGAAAGTGCCAAAAAAAAGCAAATTGCATTGGTGGACCCTGGGTCTAAAAGGAGGGAGAAAGGTGGAGGGAGAGTGAGAAGGTGGAGGAAAGGATGCCCCCCTTCAGACGGACAGCGAGACGAAGCTGTTGTACTGTTGGATGTTGCGTTTGAGAATGTCTGAACAGGGACCCAGGACGCGCTCGAAGCGAGGCCGGTCCAGCTTGACGCACTTCAGTGGGCCACGGGCGACCACAGTGGCGGCACGGGGGCGGTTCATCAGCAGAGCAATCTCACCTGGAGAACACACAAACACACACAAAGCAGCTTAAAACCTATTAAAAAAAAACTAAGATCCAGACGAATGCAACATGAACTGAGATTGTCAATACACAGTACCACAAACATAACATGAATGCATTGAATGTCACTGTGAATATACATATACATATATATATATATATATATATAAAATTTAATTTAAATGATCAATCTACACACACTTATTTATGTAAATACTGTAATTGACCCATCTGTCACATAACTGCATTTTACTTCTCATGTTACTTCAGCATCTTTTGCACTATTCACCACTGCACTGTTTCATATTTAGTCATGTAAATATTAGTCTTTTCTGATTGTGTTTATTGTTGATATTTAATGTTGTACCTGTACATAAGAGAGCACAGGTCAAAGTTAAATATCTTGTGTGTGTAAGCATACCTGGACAATAAATCTGATTCTGATTGCATGAAATACAAACGAGCAGTGATAATGCTTCAGTACTTACCAAAGTAGTCAGATGGTCCTAACCTCCCCACTTCCACAAACTCCTCATTCTCTGAGCGACGCTGCAACACAGCTGCAGAACCCTGAAAAAACACATACATGAATATAATTGACTTTATGCGTATGAGTGGGGCACTGGTGGCCAAGTGGTCAGTGGTGAGTTAGAGTGACAGTAACAACATTAACTTAACTAAATAAAAAGGAACCTGCTACAGATAGAAAATCTTTCTTTCCATCACTGCTGGAGCATGAGGACACCACAATGCGCTCGAGATGAATGCCATTTTGCACCTTTTGTACATTATATATTGTAATATCTTCTTATACTGTATTATTTAAGTTGTTGCTAGTTCTGTTTTATTTCCTTGTTAATTTTTTAGCACCAATACACCAAGTCAAATTCCTTGTATGTGTAAATGTACTTGGCAATAAACCCCGATTCTGATTCTGATTTTTTTTTAGTATTCTTAATTTCAGACCTTAATTGCATCGCAGTAAATGTGTTAATGCTGACAGCCCTAAAAATAACACATTTGGTATTGCTTGATAGTTTTTAAGGTTAAAGTTAAGAGGTTAAGTTCTGGCACCATGACCAAACCAGGTTTTGTATGAACACATTTGTGTATGAGAGAAAATAGTTTTACCTCCAAGATGATGAAGAACTCATCTCCGGGCTCTCCCTGCACAACAATCTTCTGTCCGTCCTCAAACTGGACGGGCTCCAAGGCGTCAGCGACCGTCAGACGCTCCCATTTATCAAGAGACTCTGAGAAGAAGAGGAGAGGGATCAGGTGAAGTGACAGAAATCTCCTGTGATGAAGCTGAATCTGTTATTAGCTTGGTTTTGAAGCAAGTTATTTTTACATATTCTTTTCAGGTTATTTTGAATCTCAGCTTCTCTTGTTCTATTTTTAGATTTGTGTGTGAGGCTGGTTTTAAAAAGAAAAAAAAAAATCACCTAGAATGGACACTTTCCTGAGGAATTCCTCATACATCTTCCTCTTTCTCAAAGTGCTTCCCTGAAAGAAAGAGATAATAATATTTAGTGTTAATGAGTTAAAATGACCTCAGGGGCGAAACACTTTTGGTCACATGAATGTCAAACATTTCACTATGCAGCTTTTCAAACAGTTGTCTTTCTCTACATTATGAACACATCTCCTCACCATGAGTATTCTCCTGTAGCTGTCTCTGTCGATGCCCCACAGCTTCACATTGGTCTTGGCTCTGACTGTGGCCGCCCTTGGGGTGCCGTATATCAGGGCCAGCTCTCCGAAGCTGCCACCCTCCCCGATGCTGGTCACCCATTCATTGTTAACATACACCTGAGAGATTAACAGGGAAGACGGTGTCTTATTATGAGGAGATTTTTTGGTAATTGCTTTCTAAAAATCTGAGATCAGTTACTCACGTCCATCTCCCCTTGGTCGATAACATAGAAGTTGTCCCCTTCATCACCTGGATGAACAAAACATTACTGTAGGCATCCCAAAGAAACGATCTACAGATGTTGATGAGTATTTGTTTTTTCATTAACTCTAAAAAAAGATGTAATCTTACCCTGCAGAATGACAGTTTCCCCTGCGATGTAAGTGACTGGAAACATTGCATCAAATATGTCGCTGAAAGAGAGAAAGGTAGGTTGATCAGTAACACAATTATCAAAACTCAAATTATATAAAAAAAATTAAAAAAAAGTGTTTAGGGTGAGTACCTCCTCTCATTGTCGTCCAGGTGTGAGAAGAGAACGTTCTTTTCAATGGCTTTGGCCAACGCTGCCATTGTCTTGTAGTCTTTTGGAATAACCTTAAAAAACAACAACACAGAGATGTTGAGTAAAGATTTTTATTTACACGCTGACGATTATTAACTCGGGCTGTCTGACGATTCCTTTCTTAAAATCACAATCGATAGCTGAAATTCAATACATAATCACGGTTAACCACATGTTTTAAATTCCATTATTTCACATTTCAAAACGTGTCTTTTATGCTTTTATTTTGTTTGGTTTTTTGTCTAAAGCTAAGGGGGGTCCTTTACTTCCTGTTTGGATACAAACCTGCTTTTATTTTCAAAGGAAACTGTGGCAAACTGAAGGTTACAGCATTAACTCAACCACTGAAAAAAGGAACATTTTACGGATCAAAAAGTCAATAAAAACAGTTGAAGAAGACGGCAAAAAAGTTCAATGTTTGATGTCACAAGATGGATAATAACTTTTGACTCGTCATTTTAACTGAAATGAGTCATTCAAAGGTGCAGAGATGTTGTTCTTATTCATCACTGTGCCTACAGGGAGAGGCTGCTGTAGGGTTATCTTAGCTACTGTGCGCCTTAAGGGACAAAAAAGCACCTGACCAATGCGATTTAAAAAATATTAACGATTAACGTCTCAAAATATCTTTTAAATAATACTAACAGCATACGATTGTCAATGTAGATCTAAATACTGCAAACTTCTCGCAGCTGTCATGGCTGCCTGTGTGTCTACCTTTCTAACGTAGGAGGCAGCGTCCTCCTCCGTGTAGACCTCTGCGCTGAACGCTCCTCTCCGCCGGCGACCTTTAACCACAGGGTTCATGGGAGGAGACACCTCCTCATCACGGGAGTCTGAGCGGGAACTGCTCGCCTTCTGCTGGTTCTGGATCTGTTTGGCCTCCTCCTGGACCAAGGCAGGGAGAGACCAACAGCCAACAAGGTTTATAACTAATACATTCAAGTTAATCGAGGAGTTTTTGAAGAGCACATCGTATGAATGCAACAAAAACATACGCAGACAAATATTGACATTATCAGTTTAATTGCTTTATTTTTTATCAGTTTTATGACATTATTCAATGCTGTTATTAGTGATTGAAATAAATGTGGTTGTTGTGCTTTAATTTAAAACTTTATTTGTTTATGTTCTTACAGTAGGTTTGTAATTTCCATTCTTTTTAATTTTAACTGAAATAATGTATCTTTGTGCTACTGATTCTGCACTTTAAGAATTTTGTAATGTAGTGATTGTTAACTTTGCATAGTTGGTAAAAAACAATTCAGAAAAGATTCAAATGAGAAAATAATAAAACGATGGACACAAATGCGCAGAAGGACTTCAACTGTTTTTAAGTGTGAACCAAGTGTTTTTAGAAATCTAATTACTGGTAGGTTGATTTTCAAAACTAAAAAAAAAGTCAAATTATAATTATTATTATTATAATTATTATTATTATTATATTATAATTAATTATTTGACATATTCTCGGTTAAATAAAAATAAAAACATAGTCTGACTCAATGTAATTAAAAATACTCAAAAAGGTCAAATGATAACTTTTTATGAGACATTAAGAAGAATGAGAGTATGCGATGATAAGCTATCACTGTCAGATCATTTGTTTACTGTTCACTGACCAATACGGAAAACCAAAGAAGCACACACACACACACACACATACACACCTTCTCCAGCCTCTCGAAGTACTCCCTGAGGAAGGCCATGGGCCTGTCTGGCCTGGAGGTGCACAGCTGGACAATGCAGTCCTTCAGCAGCTGTTGAATGTTGTGTTTTTGCACGTACTGCTCACACTCTCTCAGGCTCCGCTCCTCCTCGCTGCTCGTACTTCCAGATGCCATGATGACAACGGCGACCCTGCTCTGTGACCTCTAACCTTTGTACTGGAGGGAGTGAACAGTAACGAGGGAAATGAGGGAATTAATTCAGGCCATCAAAAATCCAACATGGATTTACTGGAACAAAAAACAAGAGCAGGGTACTAGTTGTGTGTCGTGTTGTAAAATGGACAGAAAAAAAAAAACATTAGAATGTGAGAAAAATAGAGCCTGAGTGAGAAGGCACTGAGAGATGGGGGGGTTGTTCTGGCACTAAGGAGCCTGAGTGCTTCTCAGTGTCAGGAGAGGAAGCTGGTCATATGATGTGATCACACATATGGCTTATTTACTCAAAACAGCTTTCCTTTTTCACCAGCCTGAATGAAGCTTTCTATCAGGGACACAGTATCATACCCACGGCCCTAATATAAGATGAATGGTAAAAACAGCCTATGAATCAACCCACTGTGAAAAACACCACAAACCATAAAAACATGCAGAAGCTTGGGGTTTCACATTTTAAGGTCACAACACTGCTGCTGAGCAAAACAGCATGACAGATCCCTGATCATGTGGTAAGCTTCTTCAGATAGCTTGATCTAGCTGTGCAGTCTAAAACAGGAAGGCCTGCAAAGCCCTGATGTACCCAGCATAGTTCAGATAAGTAATTGAGTGAAAAAGAGAACCTGTGGAGTGGACAGACGAACAGGACTAACAGGACTAACAGACAGATCCTTCCTGTCCCTGCTGCAAGTGTTTTTCGTGCATGTTCATCAGATTAACATGATGATTTCTAATCTGGCGTGGTTAAAGATAAATTACAAGCCATGATATCAAAGATGACGCCACAACATCCTTTATGCAACTAACTAATACCACAGCGGAAACTTGGCAGGCTTGTTTCAATGTAAACCTACAACAAGAAGATAAAAGCGACACGTTATACTGATGTGAAAGCAGGTGGTAGTGACTTTTATTATATGTAAATCTAAACTAATGAAAGCATTTAATTAGCATGAGATTAATGGTTTCAGAGAGATGCAGCACCGCCTGCTCTCTTTATTGAGAAGCGTGCTGTCTGTCAATTTAAGTAGAGGAAACGCTGAGATGCACAAATGACCTTGCTCAACAATAACGGGCTTTGTTGGATGATAAATGACTATTGTGCGTCTCATGGCAACACATTAAGTGAATGGTTTCGCCTGTAGAAACAGAGTAAAGCTAATGTCCTGACTGTAACACTGTCTAGGTCAGGAAGGCTTCTGACGGCTGCAGCCAAGTATCTCACAGCAAATGGACTATTGTAAAAAAAATGCAACCTACACATTATTCTCACAACAAAATAACACCAAATAGAAGTGATAAAGGAATGTTTTGGAGTTTTTCTTGACTACAACGGGCCTACGTTGTGTTCTTGAGAGTGTCTAGTTTGATGCATAGCTTGCTAGCGCCGTGCAAAGGCAAAGCTCTCCTCAAATGACGCCATCTTGAGTTCTATCATAAACAAACGAGAGACGGAAGAAACACATTTAGAGCTGTGCGGAGGTCATGCTATCCGTGTGCTGATAAACAGCGAGAATACTCACAAGAAAATGTAAATTCCTGCCGAGCCCTTGGTTAGCGACTCGGGATGGGGGTTATTTCTCAATGCGTACCGTTACCAGATCCTCTCCGCTTCGATTTTTTTTCCGAGCCCTGGACCGCTGCCCCACCGGATACGGCTGAGAACCAATCAGCAGCCGTCACTGACGTCAATTCTCCCCGTTCTGACATGTGAGCCCGTAACCCTTGGCAACCTTAAAGGGGGCGCACGGAAGCCGTGACGTCAAGGACATAGTTCATAAATAAATAAAGAAAGAAAATCGATTGTTATCTGATTATAAATTACACCAATAATCTGAATCTCACACTTTGAATTTAGAGATGCATTCACCGTTTCACTGTATAGCGCATAAACTTACCAACATGAGGGTCATTTCGGGGACAGATGAATTGGAGAAACAGAAAAGTCTGAAAAGGAAACCCAGGAAGTATTTCAGAACTCCTCTTATTTCTCTGAAGGTGAAGGACTTATTCAATGTGATATATAAACAATACAAAATGTAGCCTACTATTATAACTTATGAAAGCTTTCTCATTAAACAAAATTATTTTGAGGGGTTTATATAATATAGTCTAAAAGCTGATTTGTTAATGTACATTGAATAGTCAGATGTTGTAGCTTGTTAAAATGCAGTTAATTTCAGGAACGTATCTCCAGTCTATAATAAAGAATCACATCTGATAAACTGAATATCTACTTGATTAGTGTGTAAAAACTGGAACGTAGCTAACCTAAAGTGGAGTTAAAATTACCTATTGCCTGAAAAATATAATAAAAACATAAACGGGAAATATTCACTGGGCCTATTCAAAATCTTCATGTAGATTTGTCAACAAAGCAAAGAATAAATGTAATGTTAGTATGGTTAATGGTTGACAAATGGTTATCTACATTGTACAAACAAAAGTATATATATATATTATTTCTTTCAATAATAAAAACAAAGTTGTTCTAGTTCTGTCTTGAAGTCAAACAAGTTGGTTGGTGTGGTAAAAGCCTGATAAGTCTTTTATCCAATGAAAACATCAAAACATTTCCTCGTGATAAGACTGAAGGTATAATTGGCCAATCAACAGTTTACCTCCTTGATAGGCGGGTCCTATTTGATTGACATCAATACTATCAAATGAATCATAGGCTCTAAACAGTCTGACCAATAGAAACGCCGTAGTCCAGATTTTGGCATATCGTCGTCAGCCAATCACGATACTTCTTAGGGTGACGCATCCACCCATCAGCTGTTTTTGTTTTGCTGTGTGGATATTGGAAGTTAATAACATAAAAACAGGAGCGTCGACTCGCTTAGCGGAACAGTTCATGTTTGTATCTCGTTTAGGGTTAAGGTTAGAGGTTTGAGATTAACCACTCGGTGTTTTGTGTGTGTGTGTCTCTTGAGTCAGACTGGCCGGACATTCCTCTCCCTGAAGAGTGTGAGCGTGGCGCTTGGAGTCGGGGGAGAAGAGGAGGGGAAGCGGGTTCCGGCGGGGATCGACCCGAGCCCGAGGCCTCCGACCCTCGACCGGCGAGAGAAGAGGGGACTAATCGGCTCGGATGGAGTTCGAGGAAGACCCGGATGGCCCTGTTGTGCACCGAGGCTTCGTCTGTGCCTCGTTTAACCAGGACACCACGTAAGCGACCTGCGGGCTGGGCCCCTGCATGAACTCAATCTCCACCATTCACCTGACTGTTGCATAATTATTTGCAGTCGCATTACACTACTCTTCTTTAATATTCTGTCCATTTGCAAAATCAAAAAAAGCAGCTGTATGTGTGTCCAAAATGAAACCGTCTGTATGCTTCATTAAAACTTGCAGATTCGTTCCAAACAGCTGAAAGTGAAGTAGGCCACTGTGTTAATCTTTAAGGCCTGTTGCACATTAAACTAGACAGTTTAACCAAACTAGACTACTGGCTGTTGTGTAATAAGACAGGTTCATTAGAAAACATGCCTAATTTATAGAGTCTAATGCAACTTTTTATGACATCAACTTACATGGAAACTGCAAGTAAATACTTTAAACAAGAAGGGCATCTGTGGTATCATCTGGTGGTATGGAAACATAATTAAACAGCCAGTTTCTTCATCATTTTTTGCCCCCCTTAATGATTTGACTACCGAATGCTAAGTGACCATAAGAGACCCTGAACGACTACCATACGTGTTTAGTTACAGGTGCTTCCCCCTTCATTAAATACATCCTGTAATTGTAAAATCAACCAGGTGGCCCAATGGTTAGCACCCTTCTTTGTCAAACGTCTGCCATGTAAAGATAAGACGAGTGTACTTGGGGGCAATTAATAGATTTCAATGCAAGCTGTGTTGTCATAACAAGATAAGATGGATTAGTCACATATGGCTGCCTCCTCAGATCAGGTAAACTATAGATTTGACTGGTGACTGCTACATTCTAGTATTATAATATGACTGATGGTTCAGTTATCAGACGTAATCACAAATGTATCACGTAAGTATGATGAAGCTAAGAATTAAAGAGACACACACTGTAGCATCCATGAAAATGTTTTAAAGCTCATGTTGTTTTGCAAGTTACTGTTCATTAGGGATTACAGGAAAGAGTTTCTAAGATGACTTTACAGCAACAAAAGGTTGACATTATGTGTACCAGGTTGCTGTGTGCAAGTCGTCTATGTGACAGCAAACAACATGCAGCAGAGTGCAAATAAAGTACTTCAGAATCTTTTTTTAAAGTTACTGTAATTACAGTATTCTGATGTTATTTTTAAACTTAACAATGGTGGGTGCGTCTGGTGAAATAATCTCTGGTGTGTTTTTTTATCACAGTTCTCTGTCAGTGGGCACAAAGACGGGCTACAGGCTCTTCTCAGTGACTGCTGCGGACAAACTGGACTGTATCCATGAGGGGGGTAAGAATCTCACCGTGCATCACATGTTGTCAAATTACAGAAATATGCAGCATAGTCACAAGATGACTGACTCCCCTGCATAGTCATATCTTCAACAAACAATAGGACATGATTGAGGGTTTACAGTAAGTATGCTGTATCCAGTCATGCAAACAGTAAGTGACAAAGCAGCATCCCCGCCCAGAGGTGTCATAGCAAAAGTGTAATAGAAGTGTTATGTTAGCTGTGGTCAGGAAGAATTGCATAGAGGCCACAGCTGCATACAGAGTCAAACAAAGGGAGTTGTCATTTTTCCTTATCCCCCATAGCAACAAAGAAGGAGAAAGTGTGTAGAGTCGGTTTGAGGAAGTGTGAGCTCAAAATTTCTCTTTGTTTGGAGACTGACAGTTTTCCTGATAACAGTGAGGCAAGGTAGTTACTGACAGAGATACCACATTTGCCTTTGAAATGCTTCAGTGTAAATGTGTATTACATGTGTGAGTGTAGAGTATATTACAGAGTGAAAGCATGAAATAAATGTCTCTCCCTGGTCCCTTTGCCCTTTGTCCCCAGTGGAGTGTCCAGAGGTGTATATAGTAGAGCGGCTTTTCTCCAGCAGTCTGGTGGTAGTGGTCAGTCTGTCCATGCCTCGGCGAATGAATGTCTACCACTTTAAGAAAGGTACAGAGATTTGTAACTACAGCTACTCCAACAACATCCTCTCCGTCAGGCTCAACAGACTGGTAAGAGCAGGAAGTGCAGCTTTCAGTAATCCTTGTGGTAATTGTATTTGTTTTTTTTATATTTATTTTTACATTTCCTTGTCTCGTCTGTCGCCGCCGTCTTAGCGACTGGTGGTGTGCCTAGAGGAATCGATGTACATCCACAACATCAAAGACATGAAACTACTCAAGACCCTTCTCAACACACCTACAAATCCCTCAGGTACCATCGAGCTGTTACATCTCTACTGTATATAGACAAACAGTTTGTATGTGAAGTGTCCACTTTGAGCAAACTTGTTGTATTTTCTTTGATTGAAAGCAAATATGTTACTATTGATAAATAGAGGCTACTATGACTACCAGAGACTTTTAAAGGAATACCGTTCATTTCTGGGACTTATGACTAATGCTTTAACGGCGACATAAACATAAAGTTAAAAAAAATCCAAAGCGACGTGTGTCAGAGTGTAAGTACAACACAGGCAATCAACATCACCATCATCATTAATATCATTAAGTGCATAGGGGTTCATGAAAGAGCTGGGTCTTAAGCTTTTTCTTAAAGGTGCAGAGGGACTCTGCAGATTAACTTCTTCATTTAGAAGAAGTATTACTTTAGAGCTACTTGCCAGGGTCTTGTTATAAATAAATTAAACTCAGCTGCTGTAGTACTTACAAGAAATATTTAGATTTAGAAAGAGTGTCATGTCCAAGACAGGCAGCAGCATATTTGAACACAGCTACAGACATACAGCACTTCAAACAAAAGAGTACAAAAATAATGAGGTTCAATCTAGGACAACATTTGTGTAAAAAAAAAAAAAGCGTGCATTGGTTCTTTTCAATTTTGGAGTTGTCATTGGTCTAGAAGCAGCATATGAGGAGAATGATAGATCAAGAAGACAGATAATTACAACAGTTATTCTACTGTTGAGCAACTGGAACAGGAATCAGATTCAGGTTTACTGATAAGAAGGTTTACACATACAAGAAATATGTCAGCAATGAACATAGAAGTAGAAAATCAAAATGTAGAAAGCTGGGGCACCAGTGGTACTCGTACTGTCAGGAGAGGACTTAAATAGAATAAGATGGAATGTAAATGTACAAATATATAATACAAAATATGCTAAGTAGAAAGCTGTACAGCTGTGCTTGAAGGTGCAAGATGATGGTGAGTGCAAGCCAAACTTTTTTGACTGGGGTGGCCCCTACTTATCATATCTTCTTTCACTACTTACATTAATGTATCAAATAAATCAATTGTGTGTCCTTTTTTTCCTCAATAATTCATTCTTCATCCTGTAACTCTTTCAGCGATCAAAAACATGTATTTCCAAATCACCAGTTAAAGTATTAACAAAATCTAACGGGCAGTGAAATGAAAAGGAAGCATCCTGTTGTAACGCAGCCCAAAAAGTCCCGCCTCTGACACAGCAAACAGCCAATCATAGTTCAGGATTTTGGGCCGTAGGCCAATCATGGCTCTTTCCCCTGGTGCAAATATTTTACAGTGTGAAGGTTAAAGCAAAGATT